CCCCAAAACCCCAAAACCCCAAAACCCCTCGTTCCCATCAAATAATTGAAAAACCAAAATATCTTTTTGATTTTGAATAGTAATGCTTAGCTGATTTTGAACTTAGGGCTGAATTGACTTCCAATTCCAAAGCCAATGTGGTCATTTTCAAGGTCTTCCTTGCTTACTTCATAGTCCATCTGGGTTAAGAAGAAGGCAGCAAACACCTTCATCTCTAAAGTAGCAAAGCTCATGCCAGGGCACATTCTTGGGCCATGTCCGAAGGTTCTTCTCGAGAAAACATTTTGAATCTTGCCTTGCTCCTTAGACGTTTTAAAGAACTCGGATTCAGTGTTATGTCTTTCAGGCTCAAAAGTATTTGGGTCTAGCCAGTCTTTATCATCGTTGTTGGGTCCAGCAATTTCTTGCTTCAAGATGGTTCCTTTTGGAATAGAAACTCCTCATACTTCAGTATCTTTGTAAGCTTGATAGAAAATTGTGAAATTAAGTGGCGAATCCATCCTCAAAGACTCCTTCACGGCATTTGAGAGATAATCACAAGCTTGGATATTTTCCATTGTGATGACTTTGTTGAAGTCACAGCCAGGCACAATTCCAACCTGCGCTAGTTCCTTCATTAGCTTCTCCTTGGTTTCTGGGAACTTCTTCAAGTAATAGAGCAAGGCTACAAAATTATCAGCGGTGGTTTCAGAGCCTGCTGATAGCAAAAGCATTAAGTCAACCAAAATTTCATCCTCTGTGAACTCGTTGAGCTTACGGATCTGATTCCAGAAAGAGTCTTCGTCCTGAGACTTTTTCACAATATCTTTTAGGGCCGAATATAAAGCTAACTTGTTGGTGTGGTTTCTCTTCCAAGGATTGATAATGTTTGAAACATTTAAAAGAGGAAATAATATAGTGAAAAGATTTCCAGCTTCGTCACTCATGCCTACCGAAAGATTTGAAAAGAAAGATCAGAGGTCGAACTTCTTGGTAGTCCCATCTTTGTACAGATATTCATATGATTCAGACATGTGTTCTTCATAGTCTCTACCGAACAAAACACTAACAAGTATCCTGTTAGTTAACAAAGCCATTTGATCTAGCATTTTTGCTTCACCTTTTTTCTTCATATCCTGAAGAATGATATCTGCATTCTTAAGCATCAGAGGGATGTTCTTCGATGAGTGGTTGAGTCCCAGAATCTTAGTTAAAGATTTCCTTCTCTCAATGGTCTTCTTAGTTGAAGGAGAATTGACAAAACAGCCTTCACACATCTTCAGTAAGGCTCTTCTTAAGCATGGAGTATTGTCAATATCTGCTCTGTCAATCTTCCCAGGTATCTGACTAATGACTTCCTTCAGAGCTTTGTGAGAAACGACTCCTATTTCGTTAGATTCATATCTTTGTTACTAACAGCTTTAAATCTATCTAGATGCCAAAACCAAACTCTAAATCTTCAGCAAGAAGGTTCTTGATTTATACAGAATTTGTTATAACTAAGAGATAAAATACGGGATTGAAGATAGCTCTAAACCTCGAAAGATCAATGGGCTGTAGATTACTTTACAGATGATAATAGTAATGACTCTATGAAATCCTGTAGGAGCTACTAGGTTAAACCATCAAGAAATATTGTATAAACCTCAAGTGATATCAGAACACCATTAATTCTGATATGATATGAAGCTATATCCTTTGTGAAGTCAACTGCAGCTTGAGCAGAAATGTAATACTTATTATGCGCTTTATGCTTCCCATTAATATGAAAGAGTATCAAAAACCTAATAATTTTTAAACCTACCAATCATTGGATCAGTCCCTATGAGATCTGCTCTGAGGTCGATCTCATTAGGTTTAAAACTTCTCTGTTGTCTCTTCATATGGTCATAAAAGACTTTATTGTTTTGCATATCGTCCAGGTAATAATAAATATCTCCAAGGACAGGAATGAATTTTGGCGATACAAACACATTCTTATATTTACTGTAGGTGTACCTGAACTTGATTGGCATATAGACTACTTTGTACAAAAAGTAGATCAGGAGACAACCCAAAAAGTAAGCTATGAGCCTTACAGTTTGCCAGAAAATGGTGCCAATCATATTTATATACTATTATTTTATCTTCAATTATATTATTTTTTTAGGGGTTTTGGGGTTTTGGGGTTTTGGGG